TAGATAGATAGATAGATAGATAGATAGATAGATAGATAGATAGATAGATAGATAGATAGATAGATAGATATAGGACCCGGATTGTTGTTGGGGGCGATATGCTGACTCTGTAAACCGCTTAGAGAGGGCTGAAAGCCTTATGAAGTGGTATATAAGTCTAACTGCTATTGCTATTGCTATTAATTTCTTCCTTTTTTCCCCCCCTCTTCTTCCCTCCCTTTTCCTTCCTTTTCTCCTTTTTTTCTTCCTTCCTTCCTTCCTTCCTTCCTTCCTTCCTTCCTTTCTTCGAATTCTCTTCTCAATTTCTTCCTTCCTTCTTTCCCCTCTTTTTCCTTTCCTGCCAATGTGAAACTCCTCTCCTGCCAGTAGGAGCCCAGCAGCCCCATGGATGAAATGGGAGCCCTGGTTCTCCTCTTACACAACCCCCACTCCCTCCCCCCACAATAGTAATAAAGTTTGCAAAAGGGTGTGTAAATTCAATGCAATATAGGTAGTCCTCAACATACAACCGTACATTTAGTGACCAAAGTGACAACAGCGCTGAAAAAAGGGACCTAGTACCGTTTTTCACACTTACGACCACTGCAGCAGCCCCATGATCACGTGACCAGAATTCGGACGGCTGGGCAACTGGTTCACACTTACGACCGTTGCCGTGTCCCAAGGTCACGCGATCCTCTCTGGCAACCTTTTGTCAAGACAAGGCAATGATTCACTTAACAACCGCCTTACTTGCTGAACAACTGCAGTGGTTCAACTTAACGACGGTGGCCAGAAAGGTTGTAAAATGGGGGCGAAAGTCCCCATAAAGAAATGTTTCACTTTGCGACAGACACGTTGGGCTCAACTGAGTCCCCTTCGGGGGGAAAGGGCGGCATATAAATATAATAAACTGAAACTGAAACTGTGGACGTAAGTCGAGGACTAGCTGCACAATTCAATTCAAAACTGAAGCTGTTCCTTTAAGAACGAGGACGCTCCGTCCCGACGGGAGGATTCAACTCGATAGCCTTCGGACCACAATGGTAGCTCCCATCCGCATCCACTTCTCTCCCCCCCCCTTTAATTGGATTCGCCCGAAGGAACCTTCACCGAGTCTACGCGGACGAGACCACTCGCCACCGAACCGATTTCATCTTCTCTGCCTATCCCCCCCCCCTGTCCTCAGCGCCCGGTTGGTATCGCCCCCTAGAGGCTGCTAAGGATTAGTCCGGCGCTTCTTCTAACACCCCTACGGGCATGTTCGGAATGGTCTCGTCCTATAGAAAGTCGATGTAAATAGTTCCGGGAGAGACCACTTCGCGGCTTCCTGGAGGGGGGAGGAAGTAGGAAAGGAATTGGTAAGGCTTGTCTGAATGTAACTGGTGGTGCGTTAGTACGAAAGCAAAGGGGGGGGGGATTGTGCATGAAGGTAAAATGAGTAGGGGGTGCTCAGACTGCCGCCCCCCAGGTTTTGGTCGAGAATGTTTGCATTCTGGGCCAATCAAAAGGCTTACATGCTAAAGGACAAGCTTTGAATGTTGGCTTAAGCTGTGCATGCTTTGCAATCCTTGAACAAGCCACCATTCGCTGAACCTATGCTTGGCCCTAGAGCTGACACACGGTTGAACCAACAAAAGTGGCTTGGCTTTGCATAAACGCTCAAACCATGTTTGCATCTTGGTTTAAGTGTGATGCACAAACCTAGCTACCATTCAGGGTATCTGGGGTTTAAGGGAGCCTGGGGGCTTTAGCATGTAAGCAGTAACAAGAGTTGGAAGGGAACGGATCGAAGAACAATCAATAGAATTGGAAGGGACCTTGGAGATCATCTAGTCCAACCCCCTGCTCACGCAGGAGACCTGTACCGGGGATTCGAACTGCCGACCTTTCTGATCGCACAAGCTCAGCATCTTGGCCACTGAGCCACCTAGTCAGATTGAGGCAACGTCCCTGGGTGTAGAATTTGCTGCCTGGTTGGATCTAGTCCAGTTTCTTTTTTAAAAAAACTGGATTTCCCACAATGCTC